GAGTAGTGAATTTGATGTGCATACCTGCTAGATCCCGGCTGTTCGTTTTTGAGATATTCACAAAAAAGTCGTGTATAAGAACTTATGCGACAACCTAATAACTACTATCAAATTTCAACTTGACGGGATCGACTTTTTCCGTTGCATTACTTGATTCAGTTGAGAGCCTACAGCAACTCATTTATGGAAATCCATGCCAATTAATGGTGAAAAGGTAGGGGTCATGGAATGCCGCCATATCTTCATTGAGCATAACTTTTCAACTTGATGGGACTCAGACACTTGTGGCATGGGCCTCTGGCAGGCAGCCCGTACAGCCCTAACCGTATACCAAGTGGAACGCCCATGCAATTGATGGGGTCCTAATCCATCACTAAAATCGTTTGAAGCAATTTAAAAATTAAGAGAGGTATTCCCTTCTTGTCCGCAACACAAAATATATTGAGTTGGCTTCTGTGCTAGGGGAGCGTAAATAAAAACCAAAAAATGCCGAAAAGATGGGAAACAAAGCATACTGTTTTATAGAGCAGAAAGTTATCGTACAATACAATGGAGGAATTTCTACTTTCCGCACAAAATTTCGTGTGAAGAAAAACGTTACTACTTACGGGCTAACCCAATATTTGCTGAACTAAGTACTACCTAGCAGCCTTTCTCGAGCAACAAACGGCGATACAACCACTGGTCCAATATATGTCATGTCAAGAAAGCTGTGCTCCGTTTTGAAAATCGTGGCACAAATGGCTAGCGGTGTCGAAAGGAAGATTACGTCGTGGCGACATGGCGAAAGAGACACTGAAAGTGTAACACCGTGTGCGCGGCATTTGCACGAGGCCAAAATTGGTCTGAAGTAGACCTGAATGGCAATGCTGCCGTATGTCCAGTCAAAAAGCTGCACAAGATGAACTACTCCAATTCGTGTGCGTGCCCATGGCCAGCGTGCCTGTCTCTAGCATCTGGTATCGTACATTGCCATATCACGTAAGGGTCGGGTGGAGCTGTCTTTACTTCATATTAAAGTATGGTGCGCTTTGTGGAAGCCTAGGGCCGGCAAACGACAAAGTGACAGCTGTCATGACTGGGAACATTCCACAAAAAGCGCCCTACTCATTGGAGCGCTCCAGCCACGTGCAGTCATATCCGAGATACGGAGCATAATCGATCTCTTCGACAAAATTCAGTTATTGTCCTTTAACAAGAGAATAAATACGACCCAGTCGTTTGAGAAGGCTTCAGTGGCAGATAAGTGTCATGTACCGAAACCGCCATCAGCTGTATTGCTCAGAATAATCGCCTCCATCCGGAATACAAGATTCCAATTACGTAGAGCATCTCCTGAAACGGCCGTCATTCGATAGCATCATCTGCCATTCTCTCCAATTCGCTGCCCTGAAGAGATTCTGAAAAAAGACGCTTTTTCCATGTGCGAGGTGAATGAGTCTGAAGCTACCGTAGCGTACCACCTCCTTCGCTCAAAAAATGCACAGGAGCGGCTAAAGGGTTCGCGAACTATTTCTATACTCCGCGCGCGCTACCTCTATGTGCAGCATCTACGTCTATACCGAAGCGCAGCGAAACGCGTTTTTCAGCGCTAGAACAGACCCATGTAAGAAGGCGCCGAACAAGCAGCTCGTTCGCAGAATCGCATGGTTAGGATGGCGGCACTGCCAGCTATCGGATATGGAGCACGGCACCCCGTCATCAGCACCCTCCAGCCCCATTCCCGTGCATTTTGACCGCATAAAAAAGCCGCCACTGCAAGAGTGGACCCATCCTTCCCACATACGGCAAGTAATCAGGATCTACGAGGATGAGAGCAGACTTTGTCCTTTGAGATCGTGTTCAAATTTGACAATGTGGAATCGACTTCTTCCCGTTGCAGATGCAGTCGCTGCGGCCCTGTGCTGCCAGAGCGGGGAGGATTAAGCTCAGGCATGTTTTTCAGCATTTCGGTCGTCTGACAAAACCGCAATGCTGGAGAAGGCTTGGCTGTATTTGGCAAAGATGATTACAGAAATTCGAAGTACAAAATATCTCAGGTACAAGCCGGCCGCCACCGTTGTTGACTATGTATTCAAGCCTACCGCATCCTACGGATTATACCTCATTTTGAATCGTACGGCAGTACGAATGCGATATGGCCTACACACACGCTACCAGACACCACAGGACCACTAATGTCAAGCTCGTCTGTTCTTACAGCTTGGAGTAATCGGTGTTGCTGATGGATGAGAGCAACGACGCTCTGAGCCGCACTTGTCATAGTTTAGTAGTGCACCAGAGTCTGCACAGAAAAAAAGTAAGTGTTGTTCATCTTTTTCATATATCGGGCTTTGCGTGCAGCTTTCCGACAATGACTTCGGTTCAGCAGGAACCTTCTGCTTTGACTAACCCCAACCGGTTTTATACCAGCATCTCGCGCTTACTGGGCGAGTGCCAGTCCAGCCTGAGGTCAAGGACTTCGCCCGTGACTCAACATTTTTGTGACAACTTCCGGAGCGTGAACCGGGGGCTCAACGATTGTTACCAAAGTAAAGGAACTTTGAGGAACTTGACAAGCCTTTGGCCTAGCATTCATTGCCAATAAATTGGTAGGGCTGACCGGCTCACCATGTTGAAGTGTAAGTGCTATAAGGCTGCGGCATAAGGAAAAGTCATGCTGAAAAGGAAGAGCGGCCCTGTTGTCATGTGTTTCAGAGCAATCGCCTTCTCAGCGTGAGGTGGGGGTTGCAATTGAGAATCTTGCCCATAACTCGCAAACAGCATTGCTGTGACAACATCCGGCGACCTAACCGCGGTGCTCAAGAGCAGCTGTCGTAATAAAAAATCAAAGAGCTCCTTCAACAAAGCGGGTCACTTGCCTTTTTCTGATGGGTAAATTTCATCCGTAGAAAAAATGTCTCTATGAGGCCTGCTATGAAATGTTTGCCGTCCCATGGGGTTCTTCCCAGATGCTTGAGCGCTCACTGTAGCGGTCAGGGATGGACTTGGCGTAAATTTTTCTCAAATTAGAGAATAATATTCATGGGAATTACTGCTCGTAATCTGCTCCCGAGCTATTCTGTCCAAGCGGGTCTAACAAATTATTGCTATCGTTTTCACTTCTTCCCGACCTGTCCTTCTCGAAACGTTTTGAGTCTCGAACTCACTTCTCCACACAGCCACTACCATTTACGAAAAATCGCAAATCTCATTGGCATGGAGAACACCATCCCTTAAACCACCAGCTTTCGAAGTAGCTTTACTTTCATCTGAAACTTTTGCAATACCTAAAAAGTTCTGTTGCAGTGCTGGTAAGCACGTCATCAGCGTTTTCATTTCGTCAGCCATTGAGTTCCGAAAACCTCATCATTCGAGATGAACACAATTCTCTCGTCGTCGACCGGAAACCAAAGGTATCGTTGGTGTTTCTAATTTCGAGGAAATGCTATTCGTTACGTTTTTAGATCTACCGCCTCTTCTCCAATTCAGTCGTCTTCGAAATTCCAACGAACTTGAACTTTCGAGCTGTAATAGTTATATCAGTCGCCGTCAACTGCAGCGAGCATCACTCCTTTCAATGTTCCAGAGTCTGCGCTTTTCCAGAATCTAAAAGTGAGTTTGGCCATCTTCCTCGGAGCCGAATACTTTGAAAAAATCATCAATCTACCCTTGTGCTCCGACTTTTTTTTAAAATGAGCTCCTGTTGACCTAGGCTGGATAATCGTTGCTTCATAAGCTAAAGAAGCAGTAGAGCCAAAAATCGAGCGAAAAGTTGAACGGCAAGGATCTCCTAATATCCCTTTTAATCGTTCCGACTAATCACGGACGATAATTTCGAAACACCGCGCGAACCTGTCCCGGGATTTTCTGTCTAATTTTTGTGGGCATATTGCCTTAATTTTAGTCTAACAAGGGAGGTCTTTCAGGTCGTGGCGCGCTTTTTGGAAATGGTTTGTTGCTTGTTGTAGGGGTCCATACAAGGATCAAAATGGGTTTCATTTTTGCTATGCGTTTCTGGGGAGGTCAAAAGAATTTGACAAGAATGGGCGATTTTAACTATCTTAATGGGCTCTGTTCTGATTGTAACTTCGAGCATGCATAGTTTATGAGGTGCTCGTTAATGCGCTCCGAAAATAGTTTTAAATAAAGTCAAAATGTAAGTATCATGTAGTAACACACTTGGCATGCACCGACGCAGCAGTGATGTTTTTGTCAGCGGTCCCTCATGCTCACTGTCGGCGGATCGGATGGCGCAGCGGATGACTTAATGGATTCTGGGTGTGACGTGACTTTATTCAAAACTATTTTTGACTTAATTAATGAGCACCTCATAAACTATGCGTGCTCGAAGTTACAATCAGAACGGAGCCCATTAAGATAGTTAAAATCGCCCATTCTTGTCAAATTCTTTTCACTCAGTTTTTGACCTCCCAGAAACGCATAGCAAAAATGAAACCCATTTTTGTGATCCTTGTATGGACCCCTACAACAAGCAACAAACCATTTCCAAAAAGCGCGCCACGACCTGAAAGACCTCCCTTGTAAGTGGAAGATGACAGACTGCAGCTGTCTCTGTTTTAGCCCCGAAGAATTGGAATTATGAATTGGGATTGGAATTATGGTCTCCCACCGAAAACCTAATAACTTTCAAGTCTTCAAAAATCTAATTGATCACGTAAGCATTAAACAGTCGAAATACCGTTGGCGAGATCAGCTAAGGGCCGCTGGAGTATCGCTTTCTAGAGGCACGTTAGTTCGGCAACAATACTGTGACATCGCGAGTGCAGGATATGGGGTAAAAGCGGAGTCAACGAAGAGGTAGTGTGGTTGACCAGCGTGGTTCTAGTGGAAACACTTGTTATGCCATATATATTCCCCCAGTAGTAGCGAGACTTTGGTTCCAAGATATAATATAGAGTACGGGACAGGGACATTATTGGTGGGTGGGAAGCTTCAGCTGGCAAAGCTAATGAAGGAACACCCCAACAGTGGGAACTAAATGCTTCAGATGCGGAGGCATGGGGCACTTCGCTAGGAACTGTGCAAAACCAAGAGACCAAGATCAGCGACCACGAAGGGAGGAGAAGCAGAAGCGGAAAACTAGCGATGCGAAGCCTCAGGGATCTTTCTCAGCGCACCTGGAAAAGTGGTGTGGTTCTGTGAAAAGTGGTGTCAATGACAACAAGGAAAAGGAGGTAGTGACCGAAGCATACGGAAAGCCCTTTACCTGTAAAGTGAATATGTTGGGCATGACTGTAGATGCTATGATTGATACGGGATCAGTAGTATCCATAGTCCCCCTGGGTCTGCTGTTGGAGGCAAAGAAAAATCGAGTGGATCTGGACAGCCTCGTAACTATGATGGGAAACGGGAACTCGCAAAAAGTGGTGGACGCCTCAGGAAACGCTATGCGTTTTCTGATGCTTATCGCTACAGAAGTGGATGTTCAGGGAGCGGGCCGAGCCCGTGTTCAGCAAGCAGGTAGTGGTTCCTGCTCCTGGGATCGAATGCGTTGGGGTACTGAACATCAGCATACAGTTTGGTCAAACAACTACAGGAGACCAAGAACAGAAAAATATAAGTGGAGGCATAATACGAGCAGCCCATAGGCACGTCATCCCGCCAGGAGGAATTTCTTCAGTACCGGTGTCAGGGGACACCAATGAGGAGGAGTGCATCTTTTGGTCTGAGAATGATCGCATTGCGTCCGGAGTGTTAAAGGTGACACATGGCGAGGCGCTTGGTATCAGTGAGAAACAACACCGAGGAACCATGGGTGATCCGCAAAGGGGAAACTCTTGGAAAATGGGGAAAGGAGGTATGGCACGATCCTAGGACGCGGGAGCTGCCTGGAGACATGTTACAATTGACCCACAATTCCCCGAAGATAGCGGAGAACCGCATTGAGGACCTACTGGAAATATTGAACAGCAATTGTAAGGAGAAGCCATTACCGAAGAACTGGTGATGCTGGTAACCGAATATCAGGATGTTTTTGCAATTTCGGATTTAGAGCTCACTCAAACAGATTTGTTGCATCATAACATTGATGTTGGAGATAGTTCTCCCATTAAACAACGAACCCGACCTGTGCCTTATGCGCTGCGTGCCCAGGTATGCGAGATGTTGGGAGACCTCAAGAAAAGAGGTGTCATTGAGGATAGCTCTTCTCCATGGGCCTCACCAATTGTACTGGTAGCCAAAAAGGATGGATCAATTCGGCTATGCGTCGACTACAGGGAAGTAAACAAAGTCATCAAAAAAGATAGTTACCCGCTTCCACCCATAGACATGACACTGCAGAATCTGCGCGGAAAACGATATTTCACGTCTCTGGACCTAGCAGTGGCTACTGGCAGATACCCCTAACTGAGCAAGCAAAAGAGATAAGCGCATTCACTCACGACAGCAGGACTTTTCCAGTTCCGAGTACTCCCTTTTGGGCTCTCAACGGCACCGGCGGTGTTTCAAAGACTTATGGAAAAGGTCTTAGGGCCACTGATGGGAGCTGAAGTGTCGGTGTACATTGATGACATGCTCATAGCGACAGGAAACTATGGAACGTCATGTGGAGGTTCTGGGACAGGTTTTCCAAGCGCTACAGCGGGCGCATCTGAAGCTTAAACCTCAAAAATGTAGAATTTTTCAAAATTCTGTGGAGTTCTTAGGACACGTAGTGGATCCAGGATGGGCTGCGCACTGACCCTGGCAAAATAGAAAAGATTTGCGACTTATCCACAGCCACGGAACCTTGCACAACTGAGGACCTTCTTAGGCATGGCAGGTTACTACCGGAAGTTCATTTTTCGATATGCACAAATTGCTCAGCCGCTGTATGATCTCACGAGCACAAAAGCATCGTTTCTTGGCTAGAAGCACATCCAGTTAGCGTTCACAACCTTGAAGGATCTCCTAACGAAAGCACCGGTTTTGGGACAACCAGACATTGAGGCTGCACGTCAAGGAAGCCGACCATTTTACATATATACAGATGCATCCCGCATTGGAGTGGGAGCGGTTTTAGCACAAGAGGGCAATGACAAGCTAATTCATCCGTTGCATTTTGCCTCTAGAGGGACTGTCCAAGTCGGAGAAAAACTACCACATAACGGACCAAGAGGCGCTTGGCGTTATGTTTGCGGTAAAGAAATTTCACTATTTCATCTATGGGGTGCGTACCATTGTCCGGACCGATCACGCTGCCCTTACGTCGTTGTTCAAACGAGCTAATGTTTCCCCACGCGTATTGAGGTGGGCATTAGAACTTCAGCGTTATGATCTGCAAATAGAGTACGTAAAAGGCGCAGCAAATAACGTTGCAGACGCACTTTCGAGGGGAACAGTCTCAGAAGGAATTCGATGGTGCTCCTAAATCTATCGAAATTGGGAACGTGGTGGCAGTTGTTGCAGACCAAGACTGGCTCGTAGAATTAAGAAAAGATGAAAATTTTGGATCAGTCATAGAGGCAATAGAGGAACAAAGGGAAGAGGAAGTCACGTTGGCGCGATACGGTAGGAAACTTACCTCGGCCGATTTCGAAATCAGCAATGGAAAATTGCGTCTGATTCGCGAGGATGGCTCCAAGGTGAATGTGATACCCGAGAGCAAGCGACGAGAACTTTTCGAGGAAGCACACCATGGACTCATGGGTGGCCATTTTGGTTCCAGGAAAATGCTGCTTCAGTTGGAAAAAATAGCATTCTGGCCGGGAATGAAGCAGGATATAGCAAAATGGTGTCGAGGAATGCCAAACGTGCTTTGTCAACAACAGCCATAGGGTAAACACCCCTCCATTGAAGCCGATTGTCGTGTCGAGACCTTTCGAAATAAAGGGGTGTTGACTTGCTGGGTAATGGACATTAAGCAGCTATTCACCAAAGGATACTGCCCTCGGGAAAATGGGATAACCGAGAGGGTAAATGGAACTATCATTCGCATGCTACGAAAGAAAACGGTGGTGCCCGCAGAATGGGATGTCATTCTACCTACTGTTGTTTATGCGTATAATGCATGCCCACACGAAGCGACTGGGAGAGAAGCCCTCACTTTCTCATGTACGGACGAGATCCAATATATCCCTCACAGATTATTCCTAGGGAACAATTATCGCCATGCACGATGGACTATGATCAGTACAAAACAGAGTTTTTGTCAGGCTTAAAACTTGCGCGCGAGTGCATTTCTTCCCACTCTGAAGAGTATCGAGGAAGATGAAGGATCAGTATGATAGGCGTTTCAAT